TTTCCCCCTCTATCGTCCAGTCGTTTGTTTGTGTGTGTTGTTGTTTTTTATTTTCTTATTTTAAAGATGCATGGCATTAAAAACTTTGTCATATCGCCCAAGAAACTTGTCTGAAAAATAAAACAAACGGGATCAATAAAACAAAAGCACTATGGGTTAAAAAACTGTGAACAAGTTGTTGGAAGATACATCCAGCACGGTGAAACTTCTTTCTAAGGCTGATGAGGTCAAAACTGTAAATAGTTCAAGATCCGTAGTGCAGAATCCCATTGTTCTCAGTTGGTAGAATTTGGATTCCAGGTTTTAGTCAATCTTTATTAAAAGAAAAAAAAAAAGTAATCAACTGTCATTCTTCCTGCTCAAATGAGAGCTTTTTCGCCGTCTATGGCTGTTCTGTCTCCATAGAGGTGCAGGACTTCATGTTGAAGTGAAAAATGAACCCACAGTGAGAAAAAATAATTTTACTTACTGCTGCCGAGTGACTCAGCTTGTCAAAACGAAACTTGAGGTTGGTTCTGGGAGAGTTCTTGTTTCTCGTGTCTGGATGTAGAGGAGAGATAAAAACAACAGGGCTCAGTTAAACAGAAACAGACGAGAGAAACGTTGACTGGAAGTTTTACCGGACCTGTCGGGCTGCGACAGACGATCAGCGGACTGGAGCTCTGGGCCTCGGCAGCCTGGATGAGCTGGAGGCAGAACGAGGAGAAGCGTTATTGATGCTGAAGCTGATTTAAATGTGTGCTTTCAGAACTTCACATTTCACTCAGTTTCCTTGGTCTTATTCATGCCACAACACAAAAACCTCACTTCTCATATCATCGAATCTTTCTAACTACGTCTGCTCGACCATCTCTGATTTGCCTGAATGGTTCTTCTTTTGAATACAGATATTTCTAAAGATATTTGTGACATTTTAGCTCGATATATGAAATGCTTTCTCAAAAAAAAATTGTCCATCGTCCTACGTTTAGCACGTTTTTTCACACATTGAAATTTGTGAATGAAAGTATCGCAGTTAAAACAGAGAGACAACACTGCCACCATCTGGTCGGACTGCCCTGTATAATGCTACGTCTTCAGGTGAAACTCACCAGGTGAGTGTCGTCGGCAGGGACGCTGAAGCTGCAGGTGCTGGAGGTCGACCTGGAAATCTTGCTGCTCTCCTTCTTCGTGTGAATCCTGCAAATAAGACAATTATGTTGATAATGCGCTCGGATGAGTTGTGAGCAGTGCCCCTGATGCTCATTTGATGACACACCTGTCCCGTTGTCCCGCCTCCGGAGAGCTGGGATTGGACGGCAGCTCTGGCCTCACCTCCAGCATCGGGTGGCAGCTGTCGAAGCTCCTCTGCTCGCTGAGAAGACTGACATCACCGAGACAGAAGAAGAAGAAGAAGCTTTAAAGGACAAATCCGACATTTAGTGACGCCGTTATGCGTCGAACAGAAAAGTTACCTCCTGTGGTTGTGTTTCTCCGTTTGGCTGTCGACGCTCAGCAGGCGAGGAAAAAGCCCCGAACGCCTCTTCACGGGAGATTTCACGTTGTACTGACATCAAGAAAAACAACAACACAGCAGCTGTTAGCGGAAACCAACAATCTTCAGAGTCATGAAAACAACATCTGTGACAGAAGTTCGGAGTCACCTCGGCGCTGATGTGAGCCAGACCGCCTCCACTCAGGCTGGTGGGAAGCCCCGCCCCGCCCCGCGACATGGTTTCCATGGAGACACTCCGCCCTCGCATCGCCCGCTGACGAGAACAAGGTGCAAGAGAACGTAGTAACACAAAACCCACCGAGTTTACAGCCAAATAACCTCCACCTGCTCACACCTGACCGTACTGTCAGCAGCCAGAGTTCAACATTTAGCAGATTTTTTGACATTTTTTCAATAATTCTGGACGCAGACATCATCATTTAAATGGGGACTTTGCTGCAATCATTGGATTTGATATTTAGTTCACGTAACTGAAGACAGAGAACAGGGCGTTAAATGTTTTACATGTTGAGATATTAACCCTCTAAACACGAAAATCCACCGGCTGGTTTAAAAGGTCTGTAAACTTTAGACCATTTATCAGACAGAAACGTAAAGTAGAAAAAAACTGTGGATTTTCAGTTTTCTGATGATTCACAAACCTCTAGTTTTAGATTCCTAAAATCACAACATTTCATCAAAATCTATTTATTCTTCATGACTCATTTATTAAATGACCAAATATAAAATGTGCACAAGCTTCTGTATAAAACAACCAACGGCTTGACCACCTCTGATTTGTTAGAACTCTTTTATCCTAAACTATGGATATTTAAAATGCTTACTGTGATATTTTAGATTGATGTGTCAAATTCTTTCCATGTAGTAGAGGTATTTTATGAAATTTTTCCAAAATCTGTCAACTAAATCGTGACCAAACAGCTTCTTCACCAATATGTTTGTAAAGGTGTAATAACATGCCTTAAAATGTTGAAGTTCAACTC